TAACTAACTAACTAACTAAATAACTAAATAACTAAATACATACATACATACATACATACATACATACATACATACATACATACATACAAAAAATCTAAGATCACATGTGTTGTATGTTTCAGAAGTATATAAAGAAAAGAAAAAAATACCCTACCTGAAGCTTATTCAAAACATTATGAGCATTACGGAACATGGAAGTCCAAAATGCTAATAAAACACTGCATATTGTTTGCAGATGAGAACTGTTTTAAAGTTCCACAACTAGGAAATGATTGTCTTTCCAAAATAGATTTCAGCTTATTGTAGATAAGAATTGCAAGATCAGTGCTGCTCATAAGATAACATACAAAACAGTCAATATTGTTAACAAAGGCAGCTTGTGAGGTTCTGCAAAAACTCCAAAAGGAAGTTTAAACTTCCATATTTGCAGTAARTTGTGTTTAAATGCGTTTGTAAATTTGCAGTCTGGCTCTGAAACGACAAAAATAAAGAACTTTTATCAGTGTAATGTGCAAACTTGAACAACTTATAAGACTTAGGCAAGTATTTCACATTTGTTGACGTTTTATGTTCTGCTTGACCCATTTTTCCTCTTTGTGCCTGTCTCAGCACTGAGTTCAAACGTCTGAACAGACGCACAGACTTTACCCCAGCTTTAAGTTCTGGTGAATTTCAGTCTTAAAACAAAATCTGTTTTTCAACCTGCGATGCGGAGCAGACAAGATGAATGAGACAAGTGCAAAAGAGAAATTACCACGAATTCAGAGCGACGTTTAACTCTTTTCCTGCCTGACTTTGTGTATGTAATTAAAAGTCTCGGTCGCACAGTTTCGCTTTAAAGCGAAAGTACCGTGAAGTGTCAAACTGGCGTTGATTAAAAGCAGATGAGCGCTGTTCGCTCAAGAAGGTGCGCTGGGACACACACATCTGCGCATCTGTTCGTGCGCCAGTTTTCTGCATTTTTAGTTTAGTTTGCACGAGTTTAGGAATTTGAAAGTTTATCTGAAATACACCAGTCAGTAAAACAAGAGAGAAACAGGACGATGGTTTGGTTTGATCGTTGCCCAATTAGTTTGTTTTTGGTAAAGATGGGAATTACGCACAGTTTGGCACTTTGGCTCGCCTGATTCAGCTTTAATCTCAACGGAACGAGTCGCGCTGTCACCTGAAACCTGCCCGGTTGATGCCGACAATCATGAACGTTGACCCCCAGTCGGGTGCCACCGCGCCGCTGGATCTGAGCACCACTGCGCGAGGGCGCAAGAGGTCCGGGACCCCGGACTTGAGCGTCTGCGCCAAGGACGCAGGTGGGACAGGCGGATCGCCCGCGCCTCCAGCCAGCACGGGCACAGACAGTTCAGAGACCCGCTGCGCCTCGAACCGAGCCGCGCCGGGCTCAGAAACCAACGGGACTCGCAAACGTCACGCCGACGCGTCTCACTCAAAGCTTCCCTTTAGGAAGCGTCCGATTCCCTCCGAACCCGAGGACCACAACCCGGTACCGGCTCCGTCGGTGAGCGGAACCCGCTCCTCTCCGGCGGAGGAGAGGGACCTCACGATTCCGGCTACTCAATGGGAAAAAGCCGCAGATGAATGCAGAGTTGGAGTCACAGTGATCTCGAAGCGGATTGAAGAGGCAGGACAAGTTCCAGAAGGATATCCCTGCTGCCTTTTCCCCATTCTTAACTGTGGTAAGAACTATTTTTTTTATTATTTCTTTTTACCCTCCCCATTTAACTTTTAAATAGCCATAATAAGCAAATTTTGGCAGGTAAATTCTGCAGCATTCTTTTTTTAGTTTGTTATTTTGTTAAAGAAATCAAGTTTAGTCTACTGCTACCCAGGAGTTCATTTGTGTCCATCACTTTAATGGAAAGGTAAGCTACTCATTGCAATGTCATGAAGAGCAATCAAAACAAAATCTGCAATTTTTCGTAATAATATTTAATGTGGCTTTTAATTCAATATGTTTAAGCAAATTCTGTGCCTGGATGCCAACTGTGTACTTTTTTACCTGCCTAAACAACAGAAGTGACTAAAAATATGTCAACAATGATGAAGACCCATTTAGGAATTCTGACCGTTTTGATGATGAAAGTGCAATTATTTACACTTCAAACTGCACCATCTGATTTAGTTAAAAAAACATTTTATGCTTAATTTCATACTTTACTATGAGGACCTTTAACCTCGGGGATTTTGCTCATTTCTGGATCACATCACAGATGCAGTGGAGTCATTGTTGCAGAATCTTGTGCTGAGAAAGTGTCCACTCAGCATTTCTGCAGCCATTCATGCAGTTACAGAAGTATGGCTTTCTGGGTCAACCCATTACTGAATACACATGCACATACACACACACTTTTGTTTTTCAACCCAGTGGGGACTGTGCATTGACTTCCATTCATTTTCTTTAGACTTTATAACCTAACCCTGACCATATACCCTAAAATTAACCTCACAGGTACTTAACTGACCCTAAACTAACCTAAACCTAGGTCCTAAACCTAACCCCCCCACCCGTAATTTGCATTTGGACCCGAGGGGACCGGGCATTGGTCCCCACGATGCACTTTGGTCTCCACGAGGCTGCTTTTTTTGGGAAATTTTTCCCCACTTTGTAGGAAAAACTCACACACACACACACACACACACACACACACACACACACACACACACACACACACACACACACACACACACACACAC